AGCACTACATTCTAACTGTATTCAGTGATTTTGGTGAAACTGGATCAGGATAAAATATTTGCTGGTCATGCTGACCTTAGACACAAGGATGAACTGATTAGACTTTGGTGATCAAAGTGGACGTTTGTTACAGGTGAGATACTTCCCTCTGGCAGGAGGCTGCGGTCCATCAGGACTAAAACGTCTCGCCATAAAAACAGTTTCTTCCCATCGGCGGCTGGCCTCCTTAACAAGGCCCGGATTACCCACTGTCATTGACTCTTACACCCACCCTGTATATAAAGTATGCATTACATTAATGCACCCACGTTCTTCTGCACAGCTTTCTCTTTCTCTTCTTATCTTTATCTATTTATTTTTTGAAAGTACTTTATTTTTCTGTGTGATTTCTGTGTGATTTCTGTGTGATTTGAATAATTGTATATTTGTATATTTGTATTTGTATATGTATATATTTTTATGCACCAACTGCACCAGGTCACATTCCTCGTAGGCATAAAAACCTACTTGGCAATAAACAAATTCTGATTCTGATTCTGAGGTGTTAATTTTGTGCAGGCATTCTTGAGATATCGCTTTCACAAGAATGTGACGGACAGAGGGACAACCCTCCTGCCATAATGACTCAATACAGAATGTTTATATAAAACCCTTCAGTGCCATCAGAAATCATCTGTGTGGTGTCCTCTCCCAGCAGCAGACCCCTCTGTTGTTGACTCATGCAAACAACTTTTCACACCACATTTTCATCAAAGTTAGAAACTGCCCCTCGGGCCCAAATTAGCACCCAGCACCCTGATAAATAAATACCTAGTGGCGGGCTGATAATTCACAGCTCCTGGTCTGCTAGCAGATCCCCTTCACTGATTAACGCAGGAAGTCACTACTGCAGACTTTCACATGCTGTCAACCACTCACCAAACATTTAATCAACAAGTAAAAGTGTTTGGATGGGAGATCCGGTCAAACAGCAGGGAAGTTGTCCTCTTCAGGGCTTCACTTCCTGTCTGGAGGTGAAACAGCAGAGATCAGTCTCCACAGATACCTGTTGAGAAGTGACATTAATGCCACTTTAATTTATGTTGTCTGTGTCTCCTGCTGGATAATTAACAACCCGGTGGTCCGTGACTTTCCGCCTGGTGTCAGTGTTAATGTGAAGAGACACTTATGATGATGACTGTAATGATTTAAAGTTCACAAGCAAGGAGCAAAGCTTTAAAGAGGTACTGCACACTTTAACATGTAAACTGAATTATATGACTGACTGTGATCAGATACATTAATGGTTGGGAGTCCAGTGCTGACACAGAGTGGAAAGTTTGGGACATTTCTATAAAAACATAGTTAACTTCCTCTAATCAGTGGAGGGTGGCCCTGCTGTGGTTCCATGTTTTGACAAATAAAGGCAGTTCTCCAATAGAGGCCTGGTCTGGATTGTTTAGAAATTATCTGGATGTATAAAACCTCTTAAAACACAGAGGGTCGCCGTTTTAGGCCGTTTGGATCTCCTATACAGATTGTTTAAACTTCTGTCAGTATGGATGCTGCACATTGGATCAGTCAGATTCTCCACAGTTCAATCCTTCATTTTACTGAAACTATGAACATTAAAGTTTAACGTTCATTCATTCAGACTCACTGGCGCTGTAAACAAAAGAGGCCAGATCATAAAGTCCATATGGTCTGTGTCCCTTACTCCATTATTTATATTCCTTCAGTCGGTCAGGGTTCACCCATCAGAGCAAAGTGTTTCATTAAATTAATCCAAGTCGTGAATATTATCATGTGCAGTCTGTTGCTTGCTGTCTGTATGCCGGCTGCCCGAAATTACGACATTTTACAGTATTCTGTGTGTTGAACAACCAGACTGTAATGTTATACTGTGTTGAAATAAATGAACTAAATGTTCTGTCTCTTTGCTGGTTTTCTGACACATTCACAATCAGTACAACTTTCTTTATTAACATTTAACAGGCGGTTGGTAAAATATAGATTTTAAAATAATTCAATCATAAATGGGTGACGACTACAAATCTTTGGTTGGGAACAGTTAATGCAAATTCAACCAATCCCTGTGAATCGTGCATGAAACAAGTTGCCTTCAGTTTTTGTACAAAATTAATTGCAAAATTGCTGTGTCTGTATATCTCTTTTAAAATACATTTAGCTAAAGTAAAATTCCTGCATTCAAAACCTTACTGAAGTATTTAAATGTAGAGTATTTTCACTGTGTTGCATTGGAACCTAACATAAAGGATCTTCAGCTCATACAGACCGCCTACGGGCCCACCTGATGCCTCTCCTCTCTACATGATGTCACCCAGTGAAAGGCTTTAAAAACCTTTGAGTCTGAACTTTTGTAAAGTTGGGGGAAGCCTTCTGCTCTGTGTTTTCAATTAAGGGCCGGGTCAGAAACATATTCCTATTCATCCCTGCACTGACTCGTACATTAAACCTCCTTTCACCTCGACTCTGATGGTCCCTCCATGTTTCCTTCCTCTCTTCAGGATTTACCCGGATCTCCTTTGGAGCTGGTAAATCTAAATGAAATCCAAATGGTTTGTTTGTGTGCAGACCCTGGCTGACAGGAGGAGTTGCAGTCAGAGCTACCAAACACTACTCTCTTTTCATTGTGGACTCTTTGTGGCCTCCATTAGTGGTGGAAGTCAGTGGCTGAGGGCCGAGCCAGCTGTCATCTCTGATTGGTGGGACATGAAGGCCTCTCTAAAACATCAATTCATGTGGAAAGTGAGCGCATGCTGCAGGAAATGAGATGTTGAAGATTTCACTCAACAATTGGTCAAAGAAAACCTACAAATACACAATTATTTCAGGTCAAATTACTAAACATTCAGGGTTTGTAAGAATGAGACCTTTTTTGATACGTTACTCTGAAAAAATCTTTGAAAAGAAAAGTCTTTGTTTGACAAAGGAAACATCAAGAATGTCTTTAAACAAAGTAATTGGACTAAAATCCTTAATCCGATTCATATATAGAGTTAAAAACAGTGGATGGTAAAAATGTGGCTTCAAACTGCCATTGTTGCTATGTTTGCTTTATTGGAAACTTACATAAGTGGAGTGTTTCATACAGACAATTACAACAAATTAATCATTACCCATTTCCCTGATTCATCCTTATATGTGTCAGCTCTGCAAAAACAGTGTGGCCATTTATTCCAAGACATAAACTTCATTACTGAATTTAGAAACAGCTGATTTTTCTTCCTGGTTGTTCGAACAGCCTCAAGGCAGATGGCTCATCCTGTGCAGCTGTTCAATCACTTCAAGCCGCTATGTGTAGGATTCAACTCACTCTTCTAGAGTTATAAATACATACATTACAGCTACCAATGTACAGTAAACGGACTGCACTCATATTGCACTTATTCCAGTCTTCTGACCACTCAGTTTGGGGTTCAGTATCTTGCTTTCTGACGAATGACCTGCTCTGCCTTTATACTGGTGTAGTTTTGGGCCAGCTCACACAGGGGAATCCTCTTCTACTGGCTGATTAGATCTTGATCATCATCTCCCTCTCAGGTTCATTAAGTTGCACCTGTTATGATCTTTATTTATTCTACTATTTTCATTAGTTTCACGCAGCGTAAAAGTATTTTTATATAATCTGTGATTATTTAACACAACATTTTTAGACACCTGTGATCCTCTGAAGGTTCACAGACTTCTTACCGTGAACTCTACTATGAAAAAACATCTTTGTGAGTGAAAATGAGCTACAGCTGTATGTACGAAGGTTTCAGGACAGCCAACATGTTAGCATTCAGTATTTTACAGAGCGACTCACACAGAGCCCCTCAGTCCTGCCGCTAATAACCAAATGACATTTGGAAGTGAATGGAAAAGACAGGGAATGTTGGATAAGTGGGAAGCATGAAACTGGTTTGATCCTTGTTTAGTTTTTGCTGGAGATAAAGAACACAATGCTGCTGATCTTCATGCTCTTGCGGTTTCATTTACACAGTGAGGCGTCTGTCAGTTCAACCACTTTGTTCCATTTAGACTTTTCTGAACTGGAAAACTCTTGAAGTCTAGAGGAATGTGCTGTATGACAAGTGTCAAGATCATAAAAGTGTTGGACAAATGAAACAACAATCTGATGGTTTATCTATCCTTAGTGTCTTAGTTATGAAGCTAAAACTCTAATGTTTGTCCTGAGGGTGGCGCTACAGGTCATGGAGTCATTAAAGTCTAAAAGATTTATCCTCTGAGGAGCAGGAACAGGAACTTATCTGAATTCAATAAGCAAATCTTTGCAAGATTTAGATTTAAATGACTTATGTAAGGCTTTCTGATCACATAATAATAGACATGCAGCCCAACATTATTATGAAACAAATCCTGTGACAAATAATAATAATAAACTGACCTTTCAGGCATGAACCCCTAAAAACTTTCTGTACTTGGTGCTGAAGATTAATTTCAATGAATACCAACGTATGAGGGTTTGATACTCAGCCCTACATTTGGCTTATCTAAGAGTAAAACTAAGACTGGTTTAACTCTGAGAGATCTTTGTGAGTGCAGCCTCTGATCTCTGAAGGCAGCGGCCAATGGAAAAGACAATTTCTCCAGCAGGACCAATAAAATCTCACACTGCATTTTTCATCTCTGAGAGGCAGCTGAGAACAGTCGTACTGTAAACAGAGCCACTCCATCAGCTCTGCACTGATGTATTACTGCAGGAGAGAAAACTGCACGATATATATTAGGTCATTTGGCTCAGCAGACGAGTCCCATTTAGCAGCTGATAAAAGCATTTGGGATGAATGCTGGAGCCCCGGGGCGGCTTGGAGGAGTCCCTCACCTCATCTGGGTTCAGTCATTGAACGCTCTCCATGGAGCCGTTTGGATGGCTGCAGGGGAAAAGTGTGGGCAGACTGAGACACGCGCAGATGAGCAGGATCAAAGGTGCTGCTGGCCGGCGTTTAACACTGGAAAAACCATCGCAGGCTAAATGGGCCAGAGAAGAAGAAAAGACAGAGAGGAGGGGAAGTGGAGGTGGTGGTGGTGGTGAATTGAAGGGCGGGAGCTGTATTAATGGTCCACTTTATTGCTTTGTACTGTTAAAATTAAGAGCTCAGATTTCATGACAGCACTTTGACCGTACATGCTTGATTTCTTCTTCCAGCCCTGGTTTTAGTTACTGTTTCAGTCTGCAGTGACCCGAAAAGAAAGTCAACCAGACGGCTGCTGAGTGATGGGACTGAAGCCGGAGGAGATGACAGGTTTCATTAAGGAAGACTTGTGGTTCCCAATCTGATTATTACATTTACTGTACAGTACTTAAAGGTGCCATATGTAAGATTCTTAAGAATTTTACGGTTTTATTTTCCTGTATGAATCACTGTTTTTCACCAATGCATAAACTGGTTGTAGTGTAGCGACTTCCTCTGCTGCCTGTGGACTGATTTCTTTGTGTTTCTATGTAAGGATGAGGGTCAAAGGATGTGACGTTTATGCTCCCGAGTTCCTTCTCTCTCCTCTTCCCTACAGTGTCAACAGTGGGCAACACTAGCTAATGCGCAGAATTCACAGAGATTGGTTGAATTTTAATTAATTCTTGCGATTGCAACAAATTGATGGCTAGGTTGCAGCTGGCTGGCTAACATTTGCTTGATTGCTCGCTGGCGTTATCACAAGCAAAATACTGGTGTTGGCTGATGGGGTGATTTGTAAACGGCAAGCTAGTTAGTAGCATGGAGCTAATGGTCAAAATAAAATATAGTACCCTTACAGATAGTGATGTTATTCTAAATATGATTTTCAGTTATTTTACAGCATTCAGTGTTTGTCACTGTTGGCCAACGCCCAGGATGCTGACTGCAGTTCACTGAACGGCCACTGGTGGGCGCTGTTAACTTTAAACAACATTAAAAATGTTGACGTGATGATGGCGCTAGATGAAAAGTCAAAGGATCACCAAAGTTATTACAAATTATCCTCTGGGGACCACGAAATGCCTGAACAAAATTTCAGAACAATCCATCAATTCAATCAATGATTACATGCTTCGGTGTGTAAGCACCCACCAAAAAGGTTGAACGTTGAGGAAGGCCGGTCAAAAAATAAATAAATTATAATATAAATTGGAGCAGTATTATTATAAAATAAACATTTTATTTGAACAAAACAATACTGGATCATCTTACTATGTCACTGGATTAAAAGTATCGGTATATAGATTTGAGTAACAATACACTGAAATTATTATTGAGTTTCAGTCTATTGTAGTTGTAGCATACTGTGAAAATGGTAAAAAATTTCCCATGGTGCACTGAGCTCCTCCCTTCCTCTCTCTTTCTGCACTCATTCATGTTCCATTAATGCATGTTACTAACTTCACTTCTTCCCCGGAGTTCTTGTGCTTTCTCGTCTCGCAGGTTCTTGTCGATCCTGGTGGAGCCTCCTGCCATGGTCCTGCTAGATTGCCATTGCCAATACTGTTGTTGCTGTGTACCTGTCTGTCTGTCTGTCTCTCGCTCTCTCTCTCTCTCTCTCTCTCTCTCTCTCTCTCTCTCTCACCCCAACTGGTCAAGACAGACGACCACCCACCTAGAGCCGAAGGATCTGTCCTAGGTTTCTGCCTTTTAACAGGCAGTTTTTCCTTGCCCTTGTCGCCAAGTGCTTGCTCATGGTGGTACTGTTGGGTCTCTGTAATTAATGTTTTAAAGAGTTCAGTCTAGACCTTCTCTATTTGAAAAGTGTCCTGAGATAACTTCTGTTATGAATTGGCGCTATACAAATAAAATTGAATTGAATTGAATTGAATTGAATTGAAAAGTTCTTCCTCATGGAGGAGTGATATGAGTGTTGTGTTTGCTTGATGGTCAACTTTTCACCCCAACACTTGTCAATCACTCTGGAGAAGTTTTATATCTCAACTTCAGGCAAGATAGCAGCTCATCAAAGGTGTTAAAGAATCAGAAAAACAAATTAGACAATCAAACCCTACTGCTGGTGTCCCCTAATGACAAAACACAACATACTTAATTTAATTTTACTGTTTTTTAGAGTGCAACAGTGGACTCATTTGTCCTGAGGGTGGTGCTAGTGGACAGATCAATTAAAATGTTAGCTGTTTCCCAGCTCCAAAGACAAATAGCTCCAATGCTATCCTATAATCATTATCCTATTTAGGAACGATTAACGTGCACCCAATGCGATCAAATTAAAGCACATATGGAAATGGGGAAACAGCTAGCCACAAGACATGTGAGATGTTGATGTCATGGTACATAACATTATCCTGCAGCTAGCAGTTGGTTACTAGCGGTTGTTGGTCATTTTTGTGGTTAACCAATGTTACTAATAGAAAGGCATAAATGAAACAGTGTGGCTAAAAGAGTGATTATTAGCAGTGAAGCCACGTGTTGACCAACAATGTTGTGATAAAAAGTAAAAAAACTAATTTCAACAACCTATATGTGATTTAGAGAGTACAGGATGTGTTTAGCTTAATGCAAACACAAAATGTTAGGAGTTGTCTTTTAGGGGTTTATAGCTACATGATGTTTAATTACAAAAACAATTTAAAATTAAAGCTGCAAGCAGCAATGAGCTGCCCCTTGCCCTCCATGCAACTCAGGGTGTGCTGCGGTTGCGTCACGTGCCGTCGTAACACACGCAGGCCACAACATGAAAATTTCGCAAAATCAGATCATAATCGCATCGCAGCTCTTACTTCCTGTTGCCAGTAGGTGGCGCTCTCACTATATCTGAATATTGTCATGTAAACGTGTTCAGGGCGGGACCCCTATCAAACGTGTGAAGTTTTACTGACATTGGACCATGTACACTGAAGTTGTGAGGACGTCTTCAGGGTGGGACTGTTATAGAATATGTGAAGTTTAGTGGACATTGGACGTTGAGTACTATCTGTTTTATGGCCAATTGGCAGAATTCGACACGTCGTCATAGGCACACGGTTCAACGTATAGTCACAAATAGCGTAACTTTTAATCAGCAACATTTTTTAACTAGTACTGACCAATTTTGAAGCAGATCAGATAAGTTCCCTAGGAGGAGTTTGTTCAAATACAAGGCAAAAAGTTCGCCGAAAATCAAAATGGCCGACTTCCCGTGGGGTTTGGGTTATGGGTCCAAGAGGCTTGTTTGTACGTCTCGGCACGTTACACGTGCCCACCGAATTTCATACATATCGGTGAAACATGGCTCCGGGGCTGCTTTTTTAAATTACTGTAGGGGGTGCTACAAACACGACAAATACGATTTTTGGTATGTGAGATTCAGGCACCAGTCTACACGTGTCCTGTGAATTTCATATTCATAACTATTACGGTGTCCGCACAGTGATTTACCCTGCCACCAGAGCGCCACCTGGTGGCGGATTGTTGACACATTTTTTAGCCAAATTTCATTTTAATCACACGTGCCGATGCGGAGATATAAACTTCTTCATTTTAAAGAGCGCCACCTTGTGGCGATTGCCTGAAATTGTGCACAATGCCTAAGGAAGTCATGGGGAACTATGGATTCAAGCTTGGTGTCAATCGAACTTACCAATGTGGGGAAATGCCCCACTTACTCTTTTGACGAAAAATGTAAAGGAAGTCCTAATTTTATAGCGTGCTTATTTTTTGAAATATCAAAATTCATTAAATTACTTTTTTGCCAGGACGGTCCACAGATGCTACGTCAAAAATTCTGTGCGATTCGGACAAAGCGTACAGGAGGAACACAAAAAAGTAGTTTTTGGACATTTTGCGCTCTAACAAAAAGAAAATCTAGGCGGAAGTGGGCGTGGCCTATATGGGGAGATTCAGCTCCATTCACCAAACGTTTTTTCGGTTTTTGAATGTGTGATAAACTATGCCGAAGTCATTAGCCTAAAAGCACTTTTCATGATAGTAGCACCACCTAGTGGCCAATCCAAAAGCAACACATAGAACATAAAATTTCTTCGCACAATTTGTGCTCTGGCCCTAAAAAGGTGTTGTTTATTGAAAAACTTAGGCTAAATACATCCTGCACTAGTAAGCTACAATAAACAAAATATGATAACTTTATAGGTACTGTGAGATCATGTAAAGAAAACTGTTTTTCTAGCATTGTTTCTTCCTGCTTTTTATTATTGATTAAGCCACCATTTTATATTTCTATTCCTAAACAACATGTACATGGAGGTTTTTTTCCTTGATGGACCTAGGCTAGTATTTTCCTCCTGTTTCCAGTGTTTGAGCTAAGCTCGGATAAACATATCCCAGACCTATCTTGGTACTGGACAAACCTGATATCCTTTGGACACATACAAACCTGATATCCTTCTTCTCATCTGACGTTCCATTTTTGCATTTGTATTGTAGAGGAATATGAAAGATGCCCTCTTGTCATTTCTCTGCTCTTCATCTGTCGCAGCTCATGTAAGATGATCAACCGCTGGACGTCCTATGCAACCTCCCAGGTGACTAATCAATTGTCTGTTCCTTAATCCTGAGCTCTTCTGAATACCTCATTTCCTAGAAGTTAGTCTGTGCCCCTGCAGACAGCCGGGAGCCATCCTCCACTCTCTTCCCTCTACGAGCTAATATCATGAATATGTGGAATACTTGGACAGGTAGCCAGATCAGGAAAGTGCAGCGTCTTTACTGTCACTGAAGCCAATAAGTGAGTGTGAGGTGACACTTCACAGACTCTGCTGATGAACTGTCGCACCTCTTTAATTTTGACCCTGAGCGAGACAGAGTCATCTATATCCGCCCATGCCGCTGGTTTTCACATCAGACTCCTCGTTGTCTTTATCCTCCTCGGGCCCTGAACACAGACTGTCCCACTCTGTCAGAGAGTTTTATCGTGTAAACTAAGAGCCTGGTCTCATGGGAAACTCATTCTCAGAAGTATTTTCGGTTTTCATGCTCAAGAATGACAACCTTATTTCTGACGTTCCGGAAGTGTTCCAGTCTGAAAACTGATTAAAAAAAAGACTAAATAGCTCAGACTAAAATTGCCAATCTGAAAGGGAATCCAGTATCAAGGTGGTTTCCTTACCAGGTTTGGTCCCTGGGCATCCCGGGCTGAGTCAGTTTAGTTAGTTGCACAGCTGACCAAGCTAACAGTAGTTAGCAGTTCGCTACTTACCACCAATAACAGTAAACTCTAAAGACTTCATGAAGACTTTAATTTGAAATATTATTTATGGACTGTGACCCAAGTAATGACTAGTGGAAAACTGTAGATAAATGAAATTGCCGGGGACAGAGCAGCTGTGGACAAACGTGTCACAAAAGCGAATGAATGTTGACTCCTACCTGTAATGAACCTGAGACACTTCATGAGCCGGCTTCATTTAAAACTGGAATTAAACTTGTTGATTCTAGACCTACTGCTAAATAAATTTAAAACTGCTAATAAGCCGAGTGTTTATTTGCTTTAATCACTGAACCCCCACGACCCGACCCCGGACAAGTGGATGAAGATGAATGAATGAATGAATGAATGAACTGAACCCCTCCGGCCTTTATTGGGGACATGCCTTTAATTCCTTCAGCACAAACTCAGCACAGATGGAAATACTCTCTAACTGCTTCTTCTATTCAATTTTGTTCAGCAAATTTGACAACTTACAGGTAACTTACGGTAAATTTCAGGTCGTACATTTTTCTTTGTGCCATCACCATGACGTGGAACGTGAACGTGGTTTTACAGCAGCTGAAGACTTACGACAGCTGGCGTACAGACAGTAAACAGACAGCGAGCAACAGACTGCACATGCTAATATTCACAACTCAGATTCATTTTAATGAAACACTTTGATTGTTCTGATGGGTGGATCCTGACGGACTAAAGGAATATAAATAATGGAGGAACGGACACAGACCATACAGACTTTATGATCTTGTCTCTCTTGTTTACAACAGGGGTGAGTCTGAATGAATTAATGTTAGTAATTAATGTTGCAGCATCCATACTGACCTAAACAGTTAAAACTCGCTCAATGGGGCAGCCCAGTGGGTTTTAAGAGGTTTTATACATCCAGATAATTTCTATAAAATCCAGAACAGGCTTTTAAAGGAGACCTATCTATTTGGGACCCTGGTTTTATTGGAAGTTTTACGTAATATAACCGTTTGTGAGCAAGCCCTGAAAAGGCACCTGACATGAAATCCAAAAATTTTATTCAGGATCAAAAAGTGTTTCATGATTTGATAACGCAATGTTGAAAACATGGCGGTCTGAAAACCTATTACTGCTTTTTGGTTGTTTCTTCCTCACGTGACACACAGGTGAATGTGGTGTGTCCAGTTTATGTTACCGTCACATAATCTTTTCCTCTGTGTAATGGAGGAACATCCAAAACACGGAAACCACATCAAGTTTTTGTCTGTGTGCAGCAGCTGTGAAGCAGCGGGATAACGGGGTGTAA